AATTCCGCACACTTGCGTCACTCGCCGCACGCATGAACTGCAGTAGCAGTGCAAGACGGGCTGGATACCACAGACGTAGAATAGTAAATCTAATTTATGATGAGCCAGAAACAGGACACGCATTGGTTTATAATTTTAGCCGAGCAGCGGAAGCCAGCATCATCCGTGGGTTTATATTTTGGCCGAGAAGCGGTAGACCAGCACTATCCGATATCGTTATTCTCTAGGCTCACAGGGAGGAGGGCAATGTTGGCATAATCTGCAGTAAATATGTGCAAGTAGTTGGCCAGACCAACTTTTCATCGAACTCTCTGGAACTACGACACTAGTCAATCCACAATGACCTTATGCATCATTCAATCTGCCCGCAGTCATGCTTCTCATAAAAGGAGATATCGTCGGAGCCAATGACACACTTGTCTATGATAGCAAACAGCTTGCTTAGGCTCGTACACTTCAGCGCCACTTGCAAATGATATCATTAAAGTCAACGTCTGACGTCGTTGCACCAAATATTTATTTATAACATAGGTCCGTGCAGAGCCTAGTTATTGATTGCCATTCTTGTCAGCAGCATCTTATTATAAATATACCACTAAAATCGAGCACTTGGCTGTAGAGAGAACATTGGTTTCGCTTCCTTTTGTGCCAATTCTCATTCCACCGTGTGAGTGGACACTACAATTCGAAAGTCACCCAGAAAAAAGAGGCCACTGTAGTTCTGCTGAATGTCTTTCTAGCATAGTGTTACTTAAGGTCAGGACATAAATGCACCGCGCGTTAGAAAAGGTTCTATCACAAGCACCATACTTCTCAGACTATCAAGTCCATCTGATTGGATGTGTAGTGAGGGGTGTCGTCGTTTGCCTAAACAAATGAGTGTGAGATTCGCGCGGCTTGTTTTTGTGACTTCATGTTTCATTCAACTAAAATCTGGTAGCTCTAAAAATTCGACCCCGCTAAGAAGTTGAAAAGGTAGTTGACTCGTAGCTTAGCATTGAATTAGTTCAGCAAAAATAGGTATAGCCGTTTATTACTAGGTAAATGGCTAATTGCAGTTGCATATGCTTTATGCATAAAAATACCAAAATATCTGAATACAAGAAATCGAAACATACTGTTGTTATCCACATACATGTGATTTCTACTTATATCGCCAGCACCTAAGAAAATATGAGCGATGTATTCTAATATTATTATAAAGCAAGTAATAATTCTGTGTAACACAAGGAATGGCCGACAAGATATTTCATCATGGATAATGTAATCGTG